TAGAGCAACTGGGTTTTATCAAAATAACAGCCTAAATATTACCCCCGACAGAACCAGAACCGTCGATTTTCCTAATTTTCAACACACTCTATGAACATACATCCTTCTGACAACTGAAGATAAAATGTGCTTGAGAATGTTAGTTTTTAAGTCTAGAATACCTAATTTTTGAACATGAAAAAATATAAAAACTTTTAATAAAAAAAGATAAATACATGTTCTAAAAATTTGTTTGATTGTTTTCAAAACAGGGTTTCTCTGTAGTTTTGTAGCCTGTCCTGAAACTCACTCTGTAGTTCAAGGCTGGCCTTGAACTCACAGAGATCTGCCAACCTCTGCCTCCCAAGTGCTGGGATTAGAGGCATGTGCCACCACCGCCCGGCAAAAATAGCCTCTTCTAAAACAAAATACTTATTTTAAAAAAAGAAACCACTGTGTAAAAACAAAAAAAAAATGTTGGTTGAATTAGAATACTATAGATCTAGAAACAATCTTTGGGGCTATCTCTAGTCCCCTAACTTGCCATTCATCCCAGCTCTGTATTTGACATGACATAACATGATTATGAGGTAGAACCTTTGGAATGCATTAGCTTGGCAGACCTTTGGCTTCCAACAACTGAGCAGCTAATATTTGAGATAGCATCTGAGGCCCATAGTTTTCTTTGATTTACTGTGACCTGCCCATTCCCACCAATGTACTGAAAAATGTGACTTTTTTTTGTTTGTTTTGTAACTAAAAACTATTTTACATTGGAACATGTTATTAGGGGCCACTTGAATCATTGCTTTTAGGCCATGATAACTCCTATTGGGCTCAATAATAAACCATCTCTGGCTGAGCATTTGGCCAGCAGAGATGATTGGAGTGCTCGGCTAGCAAGCCTGAAGTACAGGGCCTTTGTTATTCTTTCGGTCCCTGCCCTAGCCACGCCCACTCCTTTTAACCTCTGACCTCCGCCTGCCATCGCGCGCTCTCTCTCTCCGTTTTGTCTCCCGGTGTACACGCGTACACGCGGGGCTTTGCCTCTCTCCTCTCTTCTTTCCTCTCTCTCCTTCTCTCCCTCTCCCCCCCCCCTCTCTCTCTCCCCCTCTCTTTCTTTCTCTCCTTTTTAATAAATTCTCATATGGCTATTTCCTGTGTTTATATGTCTGTTACCCGCGTAGCCGCTTGTCGCAAGGCCGACTCCGCCAGCCCGCCCCGGGGACCCCCCGGGGACCGACAACCGTCTCTTCGGGGCTAGCAGCTGCTTTTATGGCTCCATGGGTCTGCTCACATGCGCCCGCTGCATTGGGGGTTCCGCCGCGTGGCTTCCCGCTGCCGCTGGGAACCCCCTATATATTTTTCACTAAGACGCAAGGGACTTTCACCATAGCACTTGCTGCTAAGTATACTTACTAAGACCAAGGGGCACAGGAGTCTGACACTAAGTATACTTACTAAGACCAAGGAGCACAGGAGTCTGGCCTAGGGGCTCACACAAACCCAGCATTCAGAAGTATGGGCAAGAGGGCTGCAAATTTGTGGCCAGCTGGGTTACGAAGTGGGTTCCTAACCAGCCAGGACTAGAATGAGGCCCTATCTCAAAAAGCCAAACATAAGAAATATTATGTATCACCATTTAGCTGAGCAAGGTGGCATACACCTGTAATCCCACGACTTGGAAGGCTGAGGCAGGAAAGTTGCCATGAAATCAAGACCAGCCAGGGGCACATATCTTCTACCAAGCTAGCCCCACAAAAATGAGTACAGACGGGACAGTGAGTTGGTTCGTCAGGTACTAGAACCTACACAGTGAAAGGAGTGAATGGGCTCCTACACAATGCCTTTTGATCTCCATACCCATCCTAGGCTGCTCTTGAGTGCAGCTGAATATATACACAAGACACACGGGAGGACCGGAGTTTCTACTGTCAGAATCCATGCAAAAGCCAATATGACAGTAGATGCCCATAACCTCATCACTGGGGCATGGGTGATGGGCAGCCTGGTGGAGGCCCAGCTAGTCTATCTGGTCAAATCAGTGAATTCCAGGTTAATGAGATCCTGTTTCAAAAAATAAGGGAGAAAGCTAATGAAGCCAACACTCAATATCCCCTTCTGGCTTCCATACACATGTATAGATAAACATGCACATATGCATATACATGAATGAACAACCAAAACTCCACTCATCATCACTGTAAGACAATAAAAGATGGGGCTGGAGAGATGACTCAGAGGTTAAGAACACTGACTGTTCTTTCAGAGGTCCTGAGTTCAATTCCCAGCAACCACATTGTGGCTCACAACCATCTATAATGAGATCTGGTACCTTCTTCTGGCCTGTAAACATACATACAGACAGACACTGTGTACATAATAAATAAATCTTCAAAAAAAATTTTAAAAGACAATAAAAGATGGAATAAAATAATTGGTAAGATAATAATATCAAATTATCTCAAGTTATTTCTTTTATGTAAGGATAAATCAGAGGCCCGAGGATGTGATTCAGCAGTAGGACACCAGCCTAACATAGGCTCGGGGGATGTCTGACTCCTTGCACTGGTAATCACCGATACCCCCCACACATACTCTTCTCCCACAAAAAAAGCTAAAAAGATTAAAATAGAGGCAATCCCTGAATGCACAGATTGAAACTAGCCACTTGGATAATGTGACCACTTCCTCACCTTGATAAGGTCTGAGTAGCAGGTCAGTTTGGATCTACATTCATTATGAGTTTTATCCTTGATCTGCTGGATTTATGAAGGTCGGATAAGTTAGTCTAGGTTTGAGGACTGACTCAGTGATTCCATTTGAATATTGAGCCTTTCCATCTCTGTCCCTAACCCCTCTCATTTGAGGTAATCTAGTAATGTAGCCCAGGCTGAACTCATGGCAATCCACCTGCCTCAAACTCTCAAGTGCTTAGATTCCAGTGTGCACAACCACACCTAGCGTAATACTTAGTCTCTTGTCCACTGGAACATGTAGGGCTGAGTGCAAAAGCAGTCTTCTGTAGCTCTGTTCTTTCACAGCAGAGGGAATATAAATTGGCTAAGGAACTCAGAGTGGGAGGGTCTTCACGCAAGGAACCCACCCTGTGATTCTAACAGTCCTGTTTCGTTGGGTCTCCCAAACTCAGCTAGTGTGAACTTGCTTCCCAAGATGGCCAGGCCTCTGCAGGACTTTGAGCATGCAGCTGTGCCTTACCTCAGACAGGGCAGAACACACAGTGCTGCTAACTGGCAGGCAAGGGCGCTAGGCTCACAGCTACTCTCTGCTGTCTTTCTTTCTTTCTTTCTTTCTTTCTTTCATTCTCTGGCTTATCTGACTATACAAGAATACAATTTTACTAGAAAACCTTTCCTCAAGACAGTGTTGTGAAATATAATTGATATTTGGTCATATAGTATTACAGAAACGTGGCGGGGGTTGGGGCAGAGCACTTGCTCAGCAGGCAGGAGGCCCTGTGAAGGCCCGGTCTTCAGCCTGAGAAAGAAAACAGGACTACAGGAGACCCTGCTGTCCTGCTGTGGGCTGTGTTTCTGTTGTAGACCCCAACAGGCCAGGTTGAAAATCAAAGCAGAGCCTCCCGTAGCAAAACTCAACTCGGTGGCCACTCAGAAACTCACGTGACCAGTTAGGAGGGAAAGACTGTGGTCCCAAACCTGCCACCTTCCCTGGTGTGATCAGGAAGCCTTCAGGTAGTCTCCACAAAGGAAGGGACCGGAAGTAACCTGGTGTTAAGAACCAGTTATTTCCTTGTTTTGTCTCCCTGCTCTCGCCTTTCAAGGAAAATCATCCTGATTGACCCATATGGCCCTCCCGGATTCTCTCCACAAACCAGCCCTCTGCCCAGCAGACAGCTTTCAGAGCGAAGTGTTGCAAGACTCTAGAGTCACAAATAGTCACGACCTATGAACTAGGGCCGTAGGGACTCTTAGCACTAAGTAGGCTGAGGCAGGGGGATCACCATGAGTTTGAGGCCAACCTAGATTTATATATTGAGTTCCAAGCCAATCCAGACTGCAAAGTAAAACCTGCCTCAAGGAAAAGAGAAAAGTCACCTGTAAACTAGCCAGGGATAACGGCACACACTTTTTTATTTTCATTTGTCCCAGTTTTGTGTGTGTGTGTGTGTGTGTGTGTGTGTGTGTGTGTGTGTGTTTGTTTTGGAGACAGAGTCTCTAACACAGCTGAGGCTTGGCCTCAAACTTGTGGGGACCTTTCTGCCTCAGCCTCCCGAGCTTAGAGGTATGAATCACCAGACTGCACAGGGCTCTATGTTGTAATCCCAGTATTGGTGAGGCTGAAACCGGAGGACCACCACTTTTATGTTTGTTTTTTGTTTCTTTTGTTTTTTGTTTGTTTGTTTTTCAAGACAGGGTTTCTCTGTGTAACAGAGACCAGGCTGGCCTCAAACTCACAACTCACAGAGATCCACCTGCCTCTGCCTCCCAAAAGCTGGAATTTTTGTTTAAAGATTTATTATGTATACAGTGTTCTTAACCATTGAGCCATCTCTCCAGTCCCGTTTGTTTTTGCTGTTGTTCCTTCATTCACTTTTTCTGGAGACAGTCTCACTATGTAGCCCAGGCTGGCCTGGAATTCTACATCTTTTTTGCCCATTATATCCAGGGCTGGTATGCAACATAACACTATACTCTAGCTGATCTAATATCAAACAACAAATAGTATAAGGAAAAATTATGGTTTCATGTATCTGTAAATGATTAAAAAGTGTCTATAAAGCCGGGTGGTGGTGGTGCACGCCTTTAATCCCAGCACTCCGGAGGCAGAGGCAGGCAGATCTCTGGGAGTTCGAGGCCAGCCTGGTCTACAAGAGCTAGTTCTGGGACAGGCACCAAAGCTATAGAGAAACCCTGTCTCGAAAAACCAAAAAAAAAAAAAAAAAAAAAAAAGTCTATAAAGTATCCCAAAACCAATCGTTCAGAATGAAATACTACATTTAAAATAATATAAACTTTATAAGTACAGTCTTTAATGTGGAAATTCTAGTCTATTGACTCCTCAATAGTATCCTGCAAACCCCAGGAGCTTCCAACAGCAAGGAGAGTTCAGGACAGCAACGTCAAAGCCCAAGTCCTGTGCTAAGACCAAGCATTAGAATAACCAACCATTCTCTATGCTTAGTTCTGTGCTTTGAAACAGGGTCTCGCTCTGGCTGACCTGGAGCTCGGCATGTAGGACAGGTTGGCAACAAACTCACAGAGCCCAGCTGCCTCTGCCCCCCAGTGCTGGGCTCTCTCTTTGGAGGTGATCCGTCAGGCACTGCCTCTCCAGAGGGTCTCCGGCAGTTTGCTCTTCACAGTGGCAGAGCACTAACTGACTCCTGTACCTAGCTGCTGCTAGTCACGAGACTTCAATGCTGTCCCTTGAATTATATTCCGAATCTTCTCCGCATCGTTTTGTACAACTGTGTTGGATGGGTCGATCTTAAGTGCAGCTTCATAATCTTGCAAGCCTGTAGAGACATATCAGTGAGAATCAATAAAGCAAGTATTTCATAAGTACCTGTGTTATTTATACACCTTTTTGTTTTTTGAAACAGGGTCTCCTGCATGTCGCTCAGAAGACGTTGAATTTGATAGGTAACTGAAGACAACTTTGAACTTCTGATCTCCTGCCTCCACCTAAGAGCTGGCATTACAGGTGTGTGCCACCACACACAGTTTGTATGGCACCAAGGATCTAACACAAGGCCCTATGAATGCGAAGCTCTTCTACTGACAGCCGTGCCATCCCCCTCAACCTCTTACCTTCAACATACAATTCCAGTTGACAAAACGCTGTACCTCGTCGGACATGTGCCTTCATTCTTGCATTGGCATTATCGGAAACAGGGGGTGTCAACAATTCTAGTGCCTTCAAACAATATTATAATTAGCAGTTAGGGAGATGCTCAGTGGATAAAGTGCTTGCTCTGTAAGCATGAAGACCTGTGTTCTAACCCCAACATCCTCAGAAAACTCCAGGCATGGTGGAGCATGCTAATGCCAGTGCTGGGGAAGCCGACACAGAGGATCCCTGGGGCTGGGTGGCAGGCTAGCCAGCCTAGCCTAGATCCCAGTGAGAGACTGCTTCAAAAGAAAAAAAGACATAATAATTAAAGAGACCATGAATATGGTGTGGGGGTGGACATGGGAGGAATTGAGGGAGGAGTGGAGAAATGATACAATCATATTCTAATTAAATTTAAAAAACCTCAGGCTGGAGAGATGGCTCAGAGGTTAAGAGCATTGCCTGCTCTTCCAAAGGTCCTGAGTTCAATTCCCAACAACCACATGGTGGCTTACAACCATCTGTAATGGGGTCTAGTGCCCTCTTCTGGCCTGCAGGCATACACACAGAATATTGTTTTTCTTTTTTTATTTCTTTTTTTTTTTTGGTTTCTCTGTGGTTTTGGAGCCTATCCTGGAACTAGCTCTTGTAGACCAGGCTGGTCTCGAATTCACAGAAATCCGCCTGCCTGTCCAAAGCAGGAGCAGAAGGAGAGGGAGCACGAGCCAGGAACTCAGGACCGCGAGGGGTACACCCACACACTGAGACAATGGGGATGTTCTATCGGGAATTCACCAAGGCCAGCTGGCCTGGGTCTGAAAAAGCATAGGATAAAACTGGACTTGCTGAACATAGCGGACAATGAGGACTACTGAGAACTCAAGAACAATGGCAATGGGTTTTTGATCCTACTGCACGTACTGGCTTTGGGGGAGCCTAGACAGTTTGGATGCTCACCTTACTAAACCTGGATGGAGGTGGGCGGTCCTTGGACTTCCCACAGGTCAGGGAACCCTGATTGCTCTTCGAGCTGATGAGGGAGAGGGACTTGATCGGGGGAGGGGGAGGGAAATGGGAGGCGGTGGCAGGGAGGAGGCAGAAATCCTTAATAAATAAATAAATTTAAAAAAAAAGAAATCCGCCTGCCTCTGCCTCCCAAGTGCTGGGATTAAAGGCGTGCGCCACCACCGCTCGGCTCACACAGAATATTGTATACATAATAAATAAATAAATATTTTTTAAAAAAAAATAAAAAACCTCACACACACAAATGCAAGTGAGGCTAGAAAGATGGGTTAGAGGCTATGAGCACTTGCTGCTCTTCCAGAGGACCTTATTTCCCAGCACTCATAGCAGGCACCCACTACTGTCTATAACATCAGTTCCAGGGGACCCAGAGGCATCCTCTAGATTCCAAGAGCAACTGCATTGTGTGCACACCCACATACACACACCACACACACAAACATACACATAATCCAAATAAATCCTTAATAAATAAGGTGAGCCTGAAGAACACCAAGACTGGCCTCTTGCCGTCACACATTCCTGCACTCACACATCCCTCACACATCCACACGCATCTACACACCTACTATGTACATAAAACAAAGGGCAGAGCAGGCGGCGGCACGCCTTTAATCCCAGCACTTGCCAGGCAGAGGCAGGCGAATCTCTGTGAGTTCGAGGCCAGCCTGGTCTAGAAAGCTGTTCCAGGACAGGCTCCAAAGCTACAGAGAAACCCTGTCTCGAAAATCAAAAAAAAAAAAAAAAAAAAAAAAACACCACCACAACAAAGGGTAGACATAAAATTAGGTCTACACAAAAACAGTGAAAAGCCAGGCGGTGGTGGCGCACGCCTTTAATCCCAGCACTTGGGAGGCAGAGGCAGGCGGATCTCTGGGAGTTCAAGGTCAGCCTGGTCTACAAGAGCTAGTTCCAGGACAGGCTGCAAAGCCACAGAGAAACCCTGTCTCAAAAAACCAAAAAAAAAAAAAAAAAAACCAGTGAAAATTCTAAATTCTAACTTGAAAGCAGATAGAAAGGCATAATGGTTTGCACCTGTAATTCCTGTACCTGGCGCATTACTAAACTGGGCGTGCAACAGGCCTGCAGTCCCAGCACTTGGGAGGGTCAGGAATGGAAGGCATTCTTCTGACTACTGTGCTCTAGCCAGTCTAGGCTGTGTGAAACCCTGACTCAAAAACAAATAAAAAAGTAAAAATACAAACAAATCAAACTACTGGGCCTGGTGGCACGTGCTTATAATTTTAGCTACTAGGAAGGCACAGAACAGCAAACTCAAGGCCTGTTCAATTTTAGCTTAGGCAATTTAGGCCTGAAATATAAGTTATACTGGTAAATTGTCAATACTATTTGTGCTCAAGCATGGTCATTTCAAGATCTTCCAAAATCCCATGTCCTTGGTCAGGTTGCCCCCTGGCTCCCTCTAACAGGTAGAAAGGAAAACAGTTAAGAGCAAAGAGTGTTTTTAAAAACAGGGCACCCCTGAGAAAAGCTGGAAGGGGAACCATTCCCAGCAGAGGTTACTATTGTTTATCATACAATATAAAAATGCCTGCCGTGGGAAGGAGAGCTTATTATTGCCTATCATACAGTATAAAAATGCCTGCCGTGGGAAGGAGAGCTTATTATTGCCTATCATACAGTATAAAAATGCCTGCCGTGGGAAGGAGAGCTTATTATTGCCTATCATACAGTATAAAAATGCCTGCCGTGGGAAGGAGGAGCTGGAATCCCATTCATGAAGCAAACTCTACACTGCCTGGAAACCTCTCCACAGGACCCCCCCCCCCCGCCCGCCGTATGACTACCCAGGAGGACTTCCCCAGTTGCTGCTTCTGGATATATTGTCAACATTGACGTGATGGTTCACTTTCTGCTGTTCTGCTTCCTGTTTGCTACTTGCTGACTGTTCTTTCCATTTTGCTCACTATGTACGTAGTAATCTCGCTCTTGGGAAGCAGAAAGCATGGCCATTGCAGATCGTCCTTCACGGAGAACAAACACAAAGGAAAGGAGTACGAGGTGCAGACCCAACGGTAGAGCAGGCTAAGGGACTAGCATTTAACTTCTGGGAGAGGGGCCTGAGTACAGACCCCAGCACCTCACACTGGCTAAGCAGATGCTCTCCTACTAAGCTAAGTGCTAAGTCCTAGACCAGAGGTTCTCAGCCTTCCTAATGCTGCAATCCTTTAGTACAGTTCCTCATGTTGTAGTGACCCCAAACCATAAAATTAATTTGTTGCTACTTCATAACTATAATTTTGCTTCTGTTATGAATCATAATATAAATATCTGATATATAGGATTTCTGATATGTGACCCCTGTGAGGGTCTCAACTCACGGGTTGAGGACTGCTGGCCTGGAACATCATTTAAGTCAATAAAGAAGGGAAGGCCGAGCAAACGTCTGCAGTGCCTGCCTTACCCTCACGCCTGAATATTAAGGTCTGACCTAGCCGTGTAGATCTTGAGCGTGCTAGGCTCCATTAAAGGTAACAATTTCATTTTTTGCTTTAGTAGTCCAAGCACACTCAAATGGAAACTCAAAAAGAAAATTATAAAATGCTTCATAAATTTACATGTCATCCTTGTACAGGGGCCATGACAATCTCTATATTGTTCCAATTTTAGCATATGTGCTGCTGAATTGAGCACCAATTTGTTTATTTTTGTTTATTTTGATCTTTTAAGACAGAGTCTCATTTTGTAACCTTATCTAACCTGGAACACTGGCCTCAAACTCAGTGATCTTCTTCCTTCAATCTCTCGAGGAGCCACCACATCTCACTCTCCAGGATAATTTTATTTTATTTTTATTTATTTATTGGGTTTTTGTTTTTGTTTTTTTTTTGAGACAGGGTTTCTCTGTGGCTTTGGAGCCTGTCCTGGAACTAGCTCTGTAGACCAGGCTGGTCTTGAACTCACAGAGATCCACCTGCCTCTGCCTCCCGAGTGCTGGAATTAAGAGCGTGCGCCACCACCACCGGGCTCCAGGATAATTTTAAAGCATCATCTTTTGTTTGTTTTTGTTTTTTGAGACAGGGTCTCTCTGTAGCTTTTGGAGCCTGTCCTGGAACTAGCTCTTCTAGACCAGGCTGGCCTCAAATTCACTGAGATCCGCCTGCCTCTGCCTCCCGAGTGCTGGGATTAAAGGTGTGCACTACTACCACCCAGCTTAAAGCATCATATTTTTAAATTAAGTAAGAAATATATACACATACACACAACACACCCATCAGAAGAACAAACATACCTTAGAAGAGTCCTCAATGGCCTTGTGTAAGTTTCTTAGTTTGAGATGGCAAGCAGCCCGATTCAAATACAATAATGGAATCTTACTGTTTAATCGTATGGCTAAATTATATGCATCAACCGCTGCCAAATAGTTTTCTGTTGCGAACAATTTGCTAATGAGACAAAAAGAAAAGGCCAATTTAACATCGAAGCAAACATGCCTACTTGGCCACCAGAGAGATGGCTTACCACCCCCCTCATTTATTCCCAGCCTGCTGCGCAAATTCCATCTCTCTACATACACCAAGCATGCGCCTTGACTAGGATGGACCCCCACACCCAAAGGCAGTCATCAGTGGTTTAATGCAGCGAGTGCATGTCTATCTTCCTTGATTCAGTGATTTATTTAGGGATAGGAAAGGGGCGTAAACTGGCCTGACTAAAGCTGGTAGTTTGGGTCTCAAGTTGGAGAGAGATAGTTGATAACACTTCTCCCCCTGCTGGATATGAATAAGGAAAGCATCCAGAGCAAACGTTGCTCTTTATTTTTAACCATAGGAGAAACGAGTTATATTAAAGCTAGTGTGGTGAGACCAAGAAAGGAACAAGAAACAGAGGAACAGCACTCCGTGACACAATGAAGCTGCCGCGCTTGACACAAGTGTCAACATATCTTTTAACAAAGAGCCAGGATCAACCAGCCTGGTGGTGCAGACCTGCAATCCCAGCTCTTGACAGACCAGCGTACGAGGACTGCAAGATCAAGCTTTACTGGGCCTATGCAACAAGTTGAAGGCAGCTTGGACAACTTAGTGAGACCCTGTCTCAAAATAAAAGAGTAAAATTTGCAACCCCATCCCTTGAGAGGGAGAAAGGAGGATCTGGATTTTAAGGCTCTGGGTTACACAGCAAGTTCCCCAGACTGCGTGTGAGCCCCATGTCAAAGCAAACCAACAATAAATGAAATAATTGAATGAAAGTGGAAAATGACTGGGGATAGGCTATAGCTCAGTGTGTTAGCATTTGTTTAGATAAGTGAGGCCCTTGATTCAATCCCCAATGCCACAAAAATCTACTGGACAGACAGAGTGCACAAGCCAGCCAGCCAGCATCCATCCATACATCTTAGTGAAGGGGCACAGGTACCTTCAAGTTAGCATTCATAATGAAGAGGGGAGAAATTAGCATTATGCATATGATAAAAAAAATAACATGGACGTGGTGCTAAAGACCTGTAACCCCAGAAGTTGGGACGCAGAAGCAGGAGTATCATCACAAGTTCAAGGCCAGCTTAGTTCATATAACAAGTCACACGTCAGCAAGGGCAGCATTAGGACTATCTTTCTCCTATAGGATCCTTTGGAAGCCTGGCGGTGGTGGCAGAAAAAGGAACCCATAAGGCATACCGTGAAACAACAACGGAATGCATGTGGATCCTCAAAGAGCCTATCACCTAGTGACAGCATAGCCATCTTAGTTTGCAATAGCACACCTAGGGCTTTCAAAATCAAAAGTCTCCTAGTACCATCGTTCTCAGACCAAGCTGGACTCGGTGGTACAGAAGGGTAGAAAGATGTGTACTGTGAGCAACTGGGTCAAGCAACTATGGAGGCCAAGGCATGCTGAGCTCCATCTGCCCACAAGATACCACGTATAGTTAGTTCTAGCTCAAGCCCCAAAGCCCAGGAACCAGGGGGCAGTAGAGCAGGGGGGCAATGGTTTCAGTGCATGACAAGTGTGAAGGCTGGAGTGCCTTGGAGCACTAACTGCCAGCTCAGGAATAATGGTTTTTTATATACAAATTCCCCACAGGTATGACAGTGCATGCCAATAATTCCAGCACTCAGGATGCTGAGACAGGAGAATCATTGTGAGTTCAAGACCAGCCTAGCCTACATGAGGAATTCCAGGCCAGCCAGCCAGGGCTACATAGTGAGACCTTGTCAAAAAAAAAAAAAAAAGGAAGAAAGAAAGAAAGAAAGAAGGAAAGAAAAGAAAAGAAACAAACAAAAAAGCGCGTGGCAACTCTAGTTACTGCCCAAGACTCCTGCTCTTTGGCAGTGAACTCAATTGATTTTCCTTGGGAAAGAAGTCCTAAAAAGGAAGACTGGATTCCTCTCCTCTGCCTTTTGTTAACACACACTAACCACCCAGTACTGCAACAGAATAGGATAAACACGATCAACAGAAGGCAATTACACCTGCATCTGAGAAGCCATCTTGTAATGCCAATTCCATCATCCTTCTATTGGGAGAAGCAGCATGAGGAAACTTCCTGTCTCCAGAAAACAAATTTATTTAAATGCAATAGCAAAGGTAGTCTTCCTGGCCCTGTTCTGAAAGCATATAGTTACATGGAATAAAAGGCGGTTCTCAAACTAGGAGTGGTGGCTCATAACCTATGCAGAGGCCATGGAGGATCCACACCTACTGGCTTGCTTCTCATGGCTTGCTCAGACTTTCTTATCAAACCCAGAACCACTCACCCAGGGGTGGCAGTGCCTACCTTGAGCTGAGCATTCCCACATCAATCACTAATCAAGAAATCACACCATAGACAAATCTGATGGGGGCTTTTTTCAACTGAGGTTCCCGCTTCCCAAATGACTCAAGCTTATGTCAAGTAGACCAGCAATGATCTATCTATTACTCCTTAACAGTATACACACACACACACACACACACACACACACACACACACACACAGAGTCAATCTACGCCTAGAATGTGGTGAGAGCCTAGTGTAGAATGCAGAACACTCTGACAACTCACTTCCCCTTTTCTTTCAACCAGTCTGGATTCTTCTCTTCTTCTTTCAAGTCAGAGAATTCAGGAAGATCAGTGCTCAGGGCTCTCCGGGCCTCCGCTTGTTTATGCAGCCACTACAATGAGAATGCAGTTTGGTGATGGACATCATCTATGCTGGTTTGTGCAGTCGACCTGACGTTATCAGCAGTCACCGGGGAGAAGGGTCTCTAGCATGGCCGGGGCGGGGAGATTATCCTGATCACACGATCTGATGTGAAGAGACTCATTTTAACTGTGGGCGAAGCCACTCCTGGACTGTGTCCATGGGGAGAGCAGTAGAACAGCATTCATGTTCTCACTGAGCAGCTGCTTCAAGCGTCTGCTGCCTTCCCCACCAAGGCAGACTGTCCTTGCACCGTGGGTTGGCATAGACCCTTTCCCCTTTAAGTTGCCTTTGTCAGAGTGTTTTAGAACACCAAGAGGAAAAGAAGCCAGCCAAGGAGATAGAGCAAGGTGGATCTTCGAGTTCAAGGCCAGCCTGCTTTATACAGCAAGCTCTGGGCTACACACAAGACCTTGTCTCAAAAGTAAATAAGTAAAATAAGATGAAAAAATAAATGGAAAAGAAACTGAGATGGGCTGGAGAGATGGCTCAGAGGTTAAGAGCATTGCCTGCTCTTCCAAAGGTCCTGAGTTCAATTCCCAGCAACCACATGGTGGCTCACAACCATCTGTAATGGGGTCTGGTGCCCTCTTCTGGCCCTCAGGCATACACACAGACAAAATATTGTATACGTCATAAATAAATAAATAAATATTTAAAAAAAAAAAAAAAAAAAAGAAACTGAGACACCCACTCTTCATCTATTTTGTACTGCTATTCAAAATATCCAAGGCTGACATTTCAGAAGGAAGGGGGGTTTCTCAGAAGGAAATGTTGCTCACAGTTTGAAGGTTGGAAAGCCAAAGTTCTAGACAGCATCACCTGGAAGGTTCCACTGCCAGCCTTTTGGCTGTGTCACAGCATGGCAGACGGCGTCTGCAGCACATGTGAGGGTGGACATGAGGGATGGAGAGGGTTCTCATCGAGACAAGAGCTTCTCTGTGTAACAGTCCTGGCTGTGCTGGACCACTCTGTACACCAGGCTGGCCTTTAACTCACAGAGATCCGCCTGCCTCTGCCTCCCTAGTGCTGGGATTAAAGGCGTGCGCTGCCACCACCACTGGGCAAGATGGGAGAGATTTTTTTTTTCAAATATTTATTTATTATGCATACAATATTCTGTCTGTGTGTACGTCTGCAGGCCAGAAGAGGGCACCAGACCTCATTACAGATGGTTGGGAGCCACCATGTGGTTGCCGGGAATTGAACTCAGGACCTCTGGAAGAGCAGACACTGCTCTTAACCACTGAGCCATCTCTCCAGCCCCCTGGGAGAGATTTTATATGGTGAAGGAGATAGTGAGAAATTGGGGGAGGGCTAGACTTGCATCTCTTCAACAGGCTGCTCTAGGGAAAAACAGCCTCTCCTCAGAACAGTAAGTACCAACACCTCCCAAGGACAGTGTCACCATGACACAATCAACTTCCACTAAGCTCACCTCTTGAGGTTTACTGCCTTTAAACTGGACCTGGTGGCACAAGCCTAAACTCTAAGCCACTTTCTCAGGCAGGACGGCACAAGTTCAAGGCCTGCCTGGGCTACAGGGAAGGAGCTACCATCCTAAATTCCTTTACTTTATCAACCTTCTACACCATGAATCTTTGGAAGATGTTATGTTCAACTCTTCAATGCCCCCTAGGCCATGTGTCAAAGGTTGTGAACCCTTCAGAAGATGGAACCTGGTGAAAGAAAATCAGGTCACCAAAAGATGAGCCTGAAGAGAACATCAGGACCCTGGTCCCCTCTCTTAACCTCTTGGCCACCATGAGGTGAGTGGGTTTGCTTCTCTGGGATGCTGAGCCTAGCTGCTGGTCCCAAAGCAATGGGGCTAACCAACCACAGACTGATGCCTCCGAGAGCACCAGATGAATTAAGCATCCCTCCTTGTAAAGCGCCTTGCTGAGTCACTTTGTCACAGGGCTGCGACACTGGCTAACATGGGGCAAAGCAGATCCCAGCCACAGAAGATACAAAAGGCCCATGGAAAACTTTAGTTATGGGCCAGGCATGGTGGCAAATGTCTTTAATCCCAGCTCTCAGAAGCAGAGGCAAGTGGATCTCTGTGAGTTCTAGGCCAGCCTGGGTTACATCTGTCTCAAATAAAACAGAATAAAACAAAATTTATTAGCATGTGTGTATGAGTGGGGAGTATATTCACATCACATCATACATCAGGAGGCCAGAGGACAACATGGCAGAGTCAGTACTCCCCTTCTAAAAGGCCTTGTTCTTATTAATAGTTTTAGATTTCCCACCTTTGCCCAGAAGGCAAAAATGTCATCTGGATCAATGGGCTGAACAGTCTGTCAAATGGCAAATACACATGTTAAAGGCCTAACTATTGTTGTGACAGTGTCAGAGATAGGGAAGTCAGGAATGCCATGGAATTTAGATAATACTGTGATGACCTTAGTCTCTTCATAAAAGAAAGAGATCAAGGGGCTGGAGAGATAGTATAATGGCTAAGAGCACTGGCTGCTCTTCCAGAGGACCAGGGTTCAATTCCTAGAACCCACATGCCAGCTCACAACTGTCTGTAAGTAGTTCAAGGAGACCCAACACCCTCACACAGATATACATGAAGGCAAAACACTAATGCATATGAAATAAAAATAAAAATTATTTAAAAAAAAATAAAGAAAGAGGTGGTGCACGCCTTTAATCCCAGCACTCGGGAGGCAGAGGCAGGCGGATCTCAGTGAGTTCTACTGAGCCTGGTCTACAGAGCTAGTTCCAGGACAGGCTCCAAAGCCACAGAGAAACCCTGTCTCGAAAAACCAAAATAAATAAATAAATAAATAAATAAACAACAAATAAATAAAGAAAGAAAGAGATCAAAGCCTGCTTTCATCACCACCATGAGGAGACAGAATGAGGGCCTCACCAAGAGCCCTTGGTAAGCCCCTGATAAGAAAACTGCAAAATGAATGTCTGTTCATTAAGCCACCTAATTTTAGGTATTTTGTTTACAGTGGCTGCTTTGGGACAATGGTCTTGTATCCTGTCACTTGTATTATTTTAAGAAAACCCTGATTGGCCAGTAGCTAGGCAGGAAGTATAAGCAGGGCAACCAGGCAGAAAATAGAGGCAGGGTGACGAGAACAGGAGAATTCTGGGAAGAGGAAAGAGTCAGTCTGCAGTTGTTATCCTGGAAGCAAGATGAGAATGCCTCACTGATAAAAGGTACCAAGCCAAGAGGTTAACATGAAAGACTTAGAGGCACCTTAGCACTACTGCACACCCCCCCCCCTTCCTGGGAACCAAGGCCCTGGTAACCAACAACACGTGCACGAGAGCTTTGAGTACTTTCCATCTCCATTGTATAGCCCCGGACCCTGGAACTGGGGTGAGACGACCTTGTAACTGCCATAACATTGATCAAGGTTCCTCCTTGTAACTATAACATTGATCAAGGCTCTTCCTTGTAACCATAACATTGATCAAGGTTCCTCCTTGTAACCATGACATTGATCAAGGCACCTCCTTGTAACCATAACATTGATCAAGGTTCCTCCTTGTAACTGTTACAACATTGATTAAGTAGAGTTAGCTGACCGTTAAATGAACTAGTCAAAATAGTAGACAAATGATTTTTGGGTTTTCCCTTTGATTTTGTACTCCCCCCTCCCTGATTTTGTGGTTTTTTTCCTTTAAAAGAGCTTGTAATAGACAAAGCGGTTGTCCTTCTCCTCTCGAGGCTGGAGGACCTCTGCCGTGGCAGAATAAAAAAATTCCTCTTGCTATTGCATCAACCGAGTTGTGAGTGTCTCTTGGGGCAACCTCCTCCTTGGTGGGGCTTTAGGGCCCAACAAACACAGATGAGAATTATGGGCTAATATAAGTTATAATAGTTACTACAAAGCCTGAGCTAATAGGCCAACCAGTTTATAATTAATGTAGACCTCTGTGTGTTTCTTTGGGACTGAACGGCTGTGGAACTGGGCAGGACAGAAACCTCTGTCAACAAATGGCTTGATTTTATAAACCCACTACTTAATGGTTATTTTAAACTTTCAGTATTTACAAACTTTTAAACGCTTTTTAAAAGATTCCTTAGCTAGTTGAGATCAAATAGATATGTGTTTCTAGTCCAGAACTAGAGAGATTCTCAGTGGCTAAGTAGTGAGTAACCCTATTGGTCTTCCAAGAACCCAAGTTCGGACAACAGCACACATATCAGGTGGTTCACAATCACCTGGAACACCAGCTCCATATGACCTAACACCTCTAGTCTGAAACATCCACACTTGTGCCCATACCCACACACAGGAACACACATATACACACATATTATTTAGAAAATAATATATCCTTTTTAAAAGTATCTAGTCCAGGGCTGGAGAGATGGCTCAGAGGTTAAGAGCACCGACTGCTCTTCCAGAGGTCCTGAGTTCAATTCCCAGCAACCACATGGTGGCTTACAACCATCTGTAATGAGGTCCGGTGCCCTCTTCTGGTTTGCAGGCATACACACAGACAGAATATTGTATACATAATAATAAACAAATAAAAAAAAACTCCATCTGCTCAGAGTTTTAAAAAAAATTAAAAAAAATAAAAAAAGATAAAAGTATCTAGTCCAAATTAGGAATTCATGTGAATATTATTGCACCATTATTGGTTGTTTTTTGCTAGTTTGTTTTGCTATTTTTAGACAGTCTTTGTTCATATTTTTGTTGTTTTTTAAAATTTGTTTAATGATTTAATGAGTTATTTATTTATTTTTATTTTATGTGCTTTGGTGTTTACCTGCAAGAATGCCTGAATGACGATGTCAAATCTCCTGGAGGTGGAGTTACAAACAACTGTGAGCTGTCACATGAGTGCTGAAAACTGAATATGGGTCCTCTAGAAGGGCAGACAGTACTCTTCCTGAGACGTCTTTCCAGCCCCTACTCATTTATTTGTTTGTTTTTGTTTTTCGAGACAGGATTTCTCTGTGTAACAGTCTTGGCTGTCCTGGTACTCATTCCATAGACCAGACTGGCCTTAAACTAGCAGAGATCCACCTAACTCTGTCTCCTGCATGCTAGTATTAAAGGCATGCATTACCACTGCCCGGCTAATTATTTTTTAAACAAATTCTCTCTATGTAGCTCTGGCTAGCCTAGAACTTTCTTTGTAGAACAGGTCGGCCTCTGAACACAAAATTAAACATATATTACAATATATGTTTAGATAATATTACACCATAGACCTTGTGGCATGTACCATGGGCTCAGTCACCAGCATAACTTAAAGCCACACAACATGTTAGTACAGACTGAAGTGAGAGATTCACAAGTTCAAGACCAACTTCGGTTAACTGTGAGTCTCAGGCCAATCTCAGCTATATAGTGAGACACTGTCTCAAACAAACAAACAAACAAACCACTAAAACAAAACATACAACACAAAACAAAGAAATCCAAAAACTGATTTTTTTTCTTTCTTCTTTCTTTCTTCCCTCCTTCCTTCCTTCCTTTTTCCTTCCTTCCTTCCTTTCTTTTTTTGAGACAGGATCTCTCAACACATCCCTGGCTATCCAGGAACTCATTGTATAGACCAAGCTATAATGAATGCACAGACATCCACCTGTCTCTACCTCCTAGTGCTAGGATTAAAGGTGTGTGCCACCACACCCAGCCCAACGCTAATTTCAGTAGAGAAATAATGAGAGCATTCCTCCAGGGTAACACTGACTGAAGTGGTGCCAGCTTAACTGAGGTTATGAGTGCCTACCTCCTCCTCTTCTGCCACTTGGGATTCACGAAGAGCAGTTGGGAATGCTCGAGGGGTAAAGCTGATTTGAATATTGCCAGCAGACCGTGGTGCGGGAACGCTGTCTTCCTTTAACTTCTCAGAAAATATGTTTTCCCAATTTCTCCCTTCAAAAGCAATGGTAGCGAATAAGTCATTTATTTCCCGTTTCATTGTCATTGTCGTTGTTTGTTTTTTCGAGACAGGGTTTCTTTGTAGCTTTGGAGCTTGTCCTGGAACTAGCTCTTGGAGACCATGCTAGCCTCAAACTCATAGAGATCCACCTGCCTCTGCCTCCTGAGTGCTGGGCTTAATGGTGTTCGCCACCTCTGCCTGGCTTATTTCCCATTTATAACTAACAAACTAACTTTTAAGATAACTATACACCAAAACTAATTCTAAAATTAATAACAGCTGGGCGGTGGTGGTGCATGCATTTAATCCCAGTACTCAGGAGGCAGAGACAGGCAGATCTCTGTGAGTTTGAAGTTAGCCTGGTCTACAAGAGCTAGTTCCAGGACACCCAGGGCTGTTACACAGAGAAACCTTGTCCCAAAAAAAACAAATAAATAAATAATAAAATGAAATTGATAACAAATAAAAATAAATAATAAAGATAAGTAAGTAAATGACAAAGCATAGCAAAGATAGGGCTCGTGAGATAGGACAGAGGGTAAAGCTCTTGCTGCTGCATGGCAATTGCAGCACACAGAAATAGAGAGAATTGGGTGGCTTTTCAGACCAGCTCTCTGGGCAGAAGGAGGCTCCTCTGTTGAGTTCAAGGCCAGACTGTTCCATCTGGTAAGTTCCAGGCTACCTAGGGTTAGTGAAACCACATCTCAATAAACAAAAAACCAAGGCACAGAACCAACTCTACAAAGTCATTCTCTGACCTCCCCCATAGGTCATACTCACATAATAATAACAAAAATAAAAATAAAACAAAGATATTTTCTGCAATAAGGAATAGAATACTTAGTATTAACAAGACAGCAAGTCCATTCTTTTTTGTTTGTTCATTTGTTTGTTTGAGACAGGGTTTCTCTATGTAGCCTTGGCTGTCCTGGAACTCACTACATAGACCAGGCTGGCCTCAAACTTGCAGAGATCCACCTGCATCTGTCTCCTGAGAGCTGGGATTAAAGGTGTGTGCACCACCTCCCGACTAGCTAGTCTATTCTTTAATCAATGGCCCACTACTTTTCCAGGTTCACGGTTGAACCTCTGTCTAGTTCAGATCCCTGTGGGGGAGGCACACTAGGCAAAGCCATCACTGCCGTGCTTCCTCCAATTCCTATGCCCCAAGCAGCGTCTCTCTATACACTTCCTAGAGAAGGCAAGTGAGAAAGTGGCAACAATGCTAACAAAAGGCAGACATCCTTACATCCTTATGGGCAGACATTCTTACAAAGGCAGAGGCAATGACAGTCGAGCCAGAATGAGAGGAGGAACTAAGCCACGTGCTAGGATGTCGTCTATAAAGACAAGGGAAGATGGCTGTCACTTAGAAACACTAGAATACCTAAGAGGGATGCACAGACGTAGGCAAACATTACAACGGGTGGGAAAAGGATTTCCAGACAAGAAGACTCAGATTAATATAGATGAGAGAAAAAGAGTAAATATAAGGAAAGGTGGGGCTGGAGAGATGGTTCAGCAGTTAAGAGCACGGGCTGCGTTTCCAAAGAACCCACGGCAGCTAACAACTGTCTGTAACTCCAGTTCCAGGGTGTCCAACATCCTGGCACAGACATACATGCAGGTAAAACACCAATACTAAAATAAAAATACATAAATCATTTTTCAAAAAGGCTGTTACACAGAGAAATCCTGTCTTGAAAAAACCAGAAAGAAAGAAAGAAAGAAAGAAAGAAAGAAAGAAAGAAAAGATAGGGACCTTTTTAGCTATGTGGGGCATTCAGAACAGCTTGAACTACATAAAATGCTATCTCAATTTAAAAAAACTGTGGTTTTGTGTGTGTGTGTGTGTGTGTTGGATTTAGCTCAGAGTCTAGCAGCTTGCCTAGAAAAGCACAAAGCCCTGGACTTGGTCCCCAACAGTGAGGGGAAAAATAGGTGGGCCTGCCTAAAGTCCCAGCAATAGAGAAGTGGATGTAGGAGGGTCAGAAGCTCAAGGCCATTCTTAGTTATGTTGCAAGTTTGAGTCCAGCCTGAGCTACAGAAGATTCTGCCTCAAAACAAATGAAAGCAAAGAAGGTAAATTAGTTGTTTGTTTTCCTTGTTCTCTGATTCCATCATTATTCCAGTCCTGAGGCTCCTTCCCTCTAACCCGTCCTTGCACGTAGCACGTTCCCAGAGTCTGCTCTTGGGGTTTGTTGTTTTCAGTGTCTCTCTACAGTAGGAATTTATGGAATGTAATAAATGACTACCATGTGGCCAGTGATGGAGAGTGCCTATAATCCAAACATTTGTGTTTGAGGTCAGAGTATCACACATTCCAGGATGCCCAGACCACACAGCAAACCCCTCAGAAAAGGGCTTTCATCTTACATCTTCCTATTGTATTGCTTATTTTCAGTATACCAGAGCATGCCCTATGCCTTCAAAAAGGTTTTTTAGGAGAGAGAGAGAGAGAGAGAGAGAGAGAGAGAGAGAGAGAGAGAAGGCACCTTACCACCTTACCTCTTTGTGGGAGGCGAGCAGCAGACGGGGCCTTCCTGGGCAAACTCGGGGGCTTCAGTGCTCCCCTCTCTTCAGCTTGTTTTCCCCGTTGGCATTTCTCTTTCCTTGGGATGCTCTTTTGCTTTTCAGCTTGTCTTTGACTTTCTTTCCAGGCTTCCAATTCTCTAGTTGCTTTCTTCCGTTCATTTTCTTTCATATCTTCTATTTTTTTCCTCTCTTCTTCTTCAATCTATAAACATTGTAATAAGCAAGTCCTTTAGAACATTCAGAAAGCAACAGCTGTGCGCATGATGTGTTTGTGTAGCATGTGCTTGTGCTCATGTGAGTGTCTGCACCTTGGCATAGGAGCCGAGTGCCCCCCCCCCCACAGGTTTAATTGGCACTGAAACAGTAAATCATGCTGTGGCTTCTGCACACCTGTGTGAGCGGCATCCTCACTGATGAACTGAAGGACACCAAATGGGCATCCCCCATCTTCCCCCTCTGCTTCACTTCCCAAGACTGTGCATGTAGGATGTCCTAGGCGGATGACCCGTGCAATGGTGGGACAGTTTACAGGTCGGTGGCCAAGCAGCTGGTGACACAGCTCAGTAGCAGAGTATTCGCTAGCACTTGAGACAACCAGTTCCCCAGCACTCAAACAGAAGGTGAGTGACCAAGAGAGGTAGTTATCCTGACTGAGCCAGTTCTAGCAGATGCCTTGAGTCCGTCCTTTTTGGGGGAAGGAGGATATAGTGATTGACCTCAAAATCAAGATCCTCTTGCCTCAGCCTCCAGAGGCCCAGAATTATACTACCATGCCTGGTTGTCCGTTTTCTTTTCTTTCTTTCTTTTTTCTGGACAGGTCTCACTATGTAGTTCTGACTGGCCTGGAACTCACCATGCAGACCAGGCTGATCTTGAACTCAAAGTTCTGCCTGCCTCTGCCTCCTGGGTGCTGAGATTAAAGGTGTGTGCTATCGTGCCCGGCTCCTTCATTTCAGTTGTATGTGTGTGTATGTGCTCTTGAATGTGGGCATGGGCGCAGGCATGCCACTGTGCCTGTGTGAAAACCAGAGGACATTTCGCTGATTTGATGTCCTCCTTCCCCTTGTGTGTCCTAAGGACTGAACTCGGGCCATCGGGCTTGGCAGAAAACACCTTTACACCCTGAGCCCTGAGTTAGTTTTTGAGAAAGTCAGCTGTTGTAAAGCCCAAAGAGCCCCGATCTCTCCGGCTTTCTGTCTTGCTATGAGATCTGTCTTACACACTGCACCTTCAACAAGTACATGGACTGCCTCATCTTGGACTCCCAGCCTCCAAAGTTGTAAGTTAAGTGAATACCTTTCCTTTATAAAGTCGCTCAGCTTTACATATTTTCCTTGTCTCATCATTGCTGAGGACTAAATTCCTGCCTCCAGCATGCTAAGGGGGAACTCTACCACCGAGCTACTCCCAGGAATGCTGTAACAGTAATGAGAAACAGACCAGGGCCTCTGCCCAAGGCTTATACACTAGGCACCAAGACAGCAACCACTGCCTGCTGACAGCTCAGAGAGTTGTCAACTGGAGAAACCAGGCAAACTGCACAGGACAAAAAGAAAACCCTGTGCAATGTTCTGCTCTGTCCCTTTAAGAGGAAAGCCACGCCCCCCACTCCCCATTCCCCCCCATCCCTGTCTTCAGCTTCCAGCCTGAGTCCTTTCCTTTCCCATCTCCTTCTCGAAGAGGGAACTTTTGTCTATCCCTTCTCCCACATCTCTCTTTCTCCCTTCCATTTCTATCTCTCTCTCTCTCTCTCTCTCTCTCTCTCTCTCTCTCTGCTCTTCTCCCTTTCTCCCCTTTCCCTTCCATAACACACTAAATAAATATCCAACCTCACTTTGCATGGCTTGCCTATCCATGTCTCTCTCTCACCTGCCATGTGACTCCCTGCCCAGGACCAACCACCTTCTGCGGTGTGATCTCATGACATGCCCATCTGTCTGTCTCTCTTTGTGGGACTGGCTGCCCCATTGAGGTCTCTAACTCACCATACAGCTCCCTGCCTGGAACTCGCTGCCCCTCATGGCCCACTGCAGCCACTTGGGGAACTACACTGTCCCTGCCTGGGACTGGCTGCTCTCAGGACCTGCTGCCACTTCGGGGACCTGTGGCATGGTTTTGGGACCCACTGCCCATTGCAGCCACTTGGGGATCCACAGCATTTTACTTAAACCATAACACCCTGTGTTTACGTGCCTCACAAAAGGGCATGATGAAGTCAGAGAGGACACCACAATCTGAAAGATAAGAATTGGCTTCATCTAATAACAAGTATGTGTTGCGGAATATTTGTGTACACTGTAAAGATGGGACTCTGACTAAGGCACCTTCTGATTGGTTTAATAAAGAGATGAATGGTCAATAACTAGGCAGGAGAGGATAGGCAGGATTTCCGGGGAGAGAGGAAAAGGAGGAGGAATCTAGGCACTTGGATTTCACTAGAGACTGAAGAAACAGGACAAACAGTACAAAACAGAGGTAACCAAGCCACACAGCAGAATGTAGATTAAAAGAGACAGGTTATAGATGTGATAAGATGCGAGTTAGAAAAAGTCTAAGCTAAGGCTAACTTCCCATAACTAATAAGTCTCAGTATCATTATTTGTGAGCTGGTGGCTGAAAGGAAAGTTCGACTACAGGTAAGCCTTCATTTTCTCTGCACACAGTGCAGAGAAGAAACGTGTGAGGAGTGGGACAACCTCGCCCTCGCCGTCCCCAGCTGTGCCCCCTCACCACACACTCCCAGTCACAGGATCGTGTTCTTCATGGAACAGTCCTCATTTATAAAACCCTCAATCATTTCTAGATGCCAAAATGAGAATTACAGAGAGGAAAGTATTTGCAGATTGGACAGACTTGCTTGAACAGAGGCAGAAGATTAGCATTTATCTAGAACCAGAAGTTGGGGAGACAAGGTCTATTTAGCTCTAGTTGTCCTGAAACTCACTGTAGACCAGGCTGGCCTTGAACCCACAGAGATTCTCCTGCCTCTACCTCCTGAGTGCTGGGATTAAAGAGGCCTCAACCAGCCTCTTAACCTTCCCACCTGTGGGTTCCAGGAATCAAACCCCTGTGGCCTGTGCCTTTATCTTCTCAGCTATCTCATGGGCCCTATTGTTGCCAAGTGTTTTTGCTCTCTACATTTAAGTGAGTTATTCCATACGAGGTCTTAACCCACAGTTTAAGAAGCTATACTTTGGGGCAGGGAATAAAAGAATCAGTGGCCCATCTAACAAAATGAGCCCTGGTGTGACCCACATGGTGACCATTGCTGCTTGACAAAGTTCCAGCATTTCAATATTGCAGACCACCCTTCTCCAGCACCTTTTCACTTTCATTTTTAATGATTCTCAATATCAATGCTTTCCCTTTGGAAAATTTCATATGGGCTTTGGTAAAGGATTAAAATGTGTACAATGGCAGCTTCACTAAACAAAATAATTCTTTGGAAAAAAAATCTCCACCACTGTAGAACCAGGAATTCCATTGTGTCCTCCTAATGATACCAAGAACAGAATATTACAGATTTACGAGGTATACTTGATCCCAAAAATGAAATGCCTACAATTCAGATCCAGAGCCTGAGGCCATTAAGGGCAACAGTTCAATTAATAAATACAGAAAAATCAGGATGGTATGGTATAATGGGAAAAGAGTAAGACCTCAGGACTTCCCTTTTGGGAATGTTATGAGGGGAACAGGCCCATATAGTAAGACCAAGATTCAACGCAATGCCCATCAAAATCCCAGCAAAATACTTCAAAGACCTCGAAAGAATGGTACTCAACTTCATATGGAAAAGCAAAAAACCCAGAATAGCCAAAACAATCCTGTCCAATAAAAGAACTTTTGAAGGGGCTGGAGAGATGGCTCAGAGGTTAAGAGCATTGCCTGCTCTTCCAAAGGTCCTGAGTTCAATTCCCAGCAACCACATGGTGGCTCACAACCATCTGTAATGAGGTCTGGTCTTCTGGCCAGCAGGCACACACACAGACAGAATATTGTATATATAATATATATATATAATATATGTATAATATATATTATATATAATATGTATATTATATATGTATATGTATATACATATATGTATATATGTATGTGTATATAATATGTATATAATATATATATATGTATATATATATGAACTTCTGGAGGCATCACAATCCCTGACTTCAAATTCTACTACAGAGCTACAGTACTGAAAACAGCCTGGTATTAGCATAAAAACAGACAGGAGGACCAATGGAACCGAACAGAAGACCCGGATATCAATCCACACATCTTCAAACTCCTGACTTTTGACAAGGAAGCAAAAAATATCAAATGGAAAAAAGAAAGCATATTTAACAAGTGGTGATGGTATAACTGGATATCAACATGTAGAAGAATGAAAATAGACCCATAACTATCACCATGCACAAAACTGAAGTCCAAATGGATCAAAGAACCTTAACATAAAGCCAGCCACACTGAACCTTATAGAAGAAAAAGTGGGAAGTACACTTGAGCGCATTGGCACAGGGAACCACTTCCCAAATATAACCCGAGCAACACAGACACTGAAACAATTAATAAATGGGACCTCCCGAAACTGAAAAGCTTCTGTAAAGCAAAGGACACGGTCAACAGGACAAAACGACAGCCTACAGAATGGGAAAATATCTTCACTAACCCCACATCAGACAGAGGTCTGATCTCCAAAATATACAAAGAAATCAAGAAATTGGACACCAAAAGATCACATAATCCAATAAAAAAAAAATGGAGTACAGACCTAAACAAAGAACCCTCAACGAAGGAATCTAAAATGGCTGAAAGACACTTAAGGAAATGTTCAACATCCTTAGTCATCAGAGAAATGCAAATCAAAACAACTCTGAGATTCCATCTTACACCTGTAAGAATGACCAAGATCAAAAACACTGATGAGCCAGGTGATGGCTGCGCACGCCTTTGATCCCAGCACTCGGGAGGCAGAGGCAGGCGGATCTCTGTGAGTTCGAGACCAGTTCTACAGAGCTAGTTCCAGGATAGGCTCCAAAGACACAGAGAAACCCTGTCTCGAAAAAACAAAACAAAACAAAACAAAAACACTGATGACAATTTATGCTGGAGAGGTTGTGGGGAAAAGGGAACACTCCTACATTGCTGGTGGGAGTGCAAGCTGGTACAACCCCTTTGGATGTCAGTGTGATGATTTCT